AGTCCTGGCGGGGATTCTGTGAGAACCATTGGAAGTCCTGGCGGGGATTCTGTGAGCACCATTGGAAGCCCTGGCAGGGAATCTGTGAACACCATTGGAAGTCTGGCAGGGATTCTGTGAGCACCATTGGAAGTCCTGGCGGGGATTCTGTGAGCACCATTGGAAGTCCTGGCAGGGGATTCTGTGAGCACCATTGGATTCTGTGAGCACCTGCAAGCTGGGGATTCTGTGAGCACCATTGGAAGTCCTGGCAGGGATTCTGTGAACACCATTGGAAGTCCTGGCAGGGAATCTGTGAGCACCATTGGAAGTCCTGGCAGGGATTCTGTGAGCACCATTGGAAGTCCTGGCAGGGATTCTGTGAGCACCATTGGAAGTCCTGGCAGGGATTCTGTGAGCACCATTGGAAGTCCTGGCAGGGATTCTGTGAGCACCATTGGAAGTCCTGGCAGGGATTCTGTGAGTGCCTCAACAGTTGCTCTGATCTGTTCTGAATGCTGCGCACAGATATATTTGAGAGGATTTTGAAATGTGAGATTTGGAGTTTTAGCTTCCTATCCGCTGTCTGCAGAGGTGGCAGGTTGGGTGTACCTGAGCCAGCAGTACATCGGTGAATATCTGCGGTCTGTGAATCTGTCAGTCCTGGACAGATCTCGGGTCGGATGAAATGTTCGGATCGTATTTTCTCGCCGTAGATAAAAACACGTTTAATAATTTCTGAATGAATTCTATCCCCAGAGCGGAGGGCGTTGTTTTTTTTTTTTTTTTTTTGTATTGTATTTGAACGGAGTTCTGCTTTAATGGAAAGGCGAACTATAAATAGATAATGGGGATTGGCGCTGTTAGGGAAATGTGTTGCGATAATGCGTGTTTTAATGAATACATGTCACAGCACAATCGCCTTTCTTTACGTTTTATCTACAATGGGAACGATCACAATATATTTGCGTTTACAACGCCGGCTCTGTTGTTTACCGCTGTTCAGTTCTGAGAAGATATCATTTGAATAAGTGACAGTGTCTCGGAGGAATGGCGTACGCACCGCGCTAATCACTTTCCCTTTCTTCTCCTGTCATCGGTGTGACTGAGCTCATTTTCATACAGTGCGTGTTTTCCGCCCGGAATACGGAAAAAGAGGGAGAAAAAAAAAAAAAAAAAACAAACTATTGATGTTTCTTTTTGTGAGTCGGAATAAAAAAAAAAAAAAAAAGCGCCAGTAATGTTGGTTATTAATACGAAGTTCACAGATTGAGAGCGGAAAATGGAGGAGAAAGTTTAAATAAAACATGGAAGCTGCATTTAAAAATTTATTACAAGGAACTTTGTTTACGTTTCTCACATTCCGGAGAAATAATTAAACAGCCGACTTTTCAGATCCCAACAGAGCGACTATCATTCAAAACCCGGCAAAAGCCGATTGGCGCCGACCGCGGATGTGGAGGAGGAAGGAGACGAGTTGTGACTGATCTGCGGAGAGCGCGGCGGCCGCTGCGATTTACTGACAGCGGACGGTTATTGACCATCGCTGGACCCGGCGAGGGGGCAGAAAATTGTACGGATGTGGAAGTGTCTGGGGGGCTCCGGTGTTCAGATCGATTCTTTTTCGATGGAAGACATTCGTTGGGTCGGGTGAAGACCTTTGTGGTGCGTTAACATGGCAGCCCATTCACAATGACGCACCAGAACGGATCTGGCTACATGGCGAAACGTTTTATGTACACCAAAACACGAAGATACACGGAGGCAGGGGCGGACTGACAACTCATGGGGCCCCCAGGCAATAGGGGATCATGGGGCCCCTGTGTCCTTGCCCACTTTAAAGCACACCCAAAAAATCCTATAAAAGGTACCAGGGGCATTTCATGGGGCCCCCTACTGACCCTGGGCCCTGGGGCAGTGCCTGAGTGCTCGAATGGTCAGTCCGCCCCTGGTGACAACAAAAAGTTTGATCACCTCCAGGTCCCGCCGACACCAAGACAGAGATGGTGAACCCCCCGCAACGACGACCAATCAGATGATCATGGGGCCCCTGTGTCCTTGCCCAAACTCAAAAAAGCCTATGAAAAATGTTCCGTGGGCATCTTATGGGGCCCCCTACTGACCCCGGGCCCTCAGGCAGTGCCCGAGTTCCCAAATGGTCAGTCCGCCCCTGCACGGAGGTCGATTTACTAAAGGCGAAGAGACTCTGCAAATAACTCTGCAAGTGCAATTGCTCCAGAGCAGGGGCGGACTGACAACTCATGGGGCCCCCGGGCAATAGGGGATCATGGGGCCCCTGTGTACTTGCCCACACTCAAACCACACCCAAAAAAGCCTATGAAAGGTACCAGGGGCATCTCATGGGGCCCCCTACTGACCCCGGGCCCTCGGGCAGTTCCCAAATGGTCAGTCCGCCCCTGCTCCAGAGCTTTGTAAATGAGATAAAGATTCACATTGGAAGGAGTAACCAATCAAGTGGAAGTAAAATGGAAAAAAAGCACTTTTGCTTGCACATGATTGGATGATGGAAGTCAGCAGAGCTTTTGCTCATTTATTAAGCTCTGGAGCAACTGTTCTTGCAAAGTGCACCGTCTATTTGCTTTTAGTAAATCAACCCCACTATATTGTCAAAAGTACTGGACCGCCTGCCCAATACTTCGCTTCAGAAAGTCCTCTGGATTCTGATCCCATTTGTTCAAAATCTCCATTGAAGGCTCTGCTCTTACATACATGATATTGCCCCAAGTATCGGGCCGCCGGACTTTCCACACACATGACCTTTAATGGCCCCCAGTCTTAGTCCGTAGGGTTCATCATTGAGTTGGCCCCGCCCTTCCCACACACATGGCCTTTAATGGCCCCCCAGTCTTAGTCCGTAGGGTTCAATATTGAGTTGGCCCCGCCCTTTCCACACACATGACCTTTAATGGCCTCCCAGTCTTAGTCCGTAGGGTTCAATATTGAGTTGGCCCCGCCCTTCCCACACACATGACCTTTAATGACCCCCCAGTCTTAGTCCGTAGGGTTCAATATTGAGTTGGCCCCGCCCTTTCCCCCGCTCATGACCTTTAATGGCCCCTCCCAGTCTTAGTCTGTAGGATACAATATTGAGTTGGCCCCGCCCTTCCCACACACATGACCTTTAATGGCCTCCCAGTCTTAGTCCGTAGGGTTCAATATTGAGTTGGCCCCGCCCTTTCCACACACATGACCTTTAATGACCCCCCAGTCTTAGTCCGTAGGGTTCAATATTGAGTTGGCCCCGCCCTTCCCACACACATGACCTTTAATGACCCCCCAGTCTTAGTCCGTAGGGTTCAATATTGAGTTGGCCCCGCCCTTTCCCCCGCTCATGACCTTTAATGGCCCCTCCCAGTCTTAGTCTGTAGGATACAATATTGAGTTGGCCCCGCCCTTCCCACACACATGACCTTTAATGGCCTCCCAGTCTTAGTCCGTAGGGTTCAATATTGAGTTGGCCCCGCCCTTTCCACACACATGACCTTTAATGACCCCCCAGTCTTAGTCCGTAGGGTTCAATATTGAGTTGGCCCCGCCCTTTCCCCCGCTCATGACCTTTAATGGCCCCCCAGTCTTAGTCCGTAGGGTTCAATATTGAGTTGGCCCCGCCCTTTCCACACACATGACCTTTAATGGCCCCCCAGTCTTAGTCCGTAGGGTTCAATATTGAGTTGGCCCCACCCTTTGCAGCTATAACAGCTTCAACTCTTCTGGGAAGGCCGTCCACAAGGTTTAGGAGGGTGTCTATGGGAAGGTTGGACCATTCTTCCAGAAGCACATTTGTCAGGTCAGGCACTGATGTCGGGGGAGGAGGTCTGGCTCGCAGTCTCCGCTCTAATTCATCCCAAAGGTGTTCTATGGGGTTGAGGTCAGGACTCTGTGCAGGACAGTCAAGTTCCTCCACCCCAAACTGGCTCTTCCATGTCTTTATGGACCTTGCTTTGTGCACTGGTGCGCAGTCATGTTGGAACAGGAAGGAGCTATCCCCAAACTCCTCCCACAAAGTTGGGGGCATGAAATTGTCAAAAATGTCACCTTAAGAGCTCCCTTCACTGGAACTAGGGGGCAAGTCCAACCCCTGAAAAACACCCCCACACCATAATCCCCCCTCCACCAAACTTTACACTTTGCACAATGCAGTCAGGCAAGTACCGTTCTCCTGGCAACCACCAAACCCAGACATGGGTTTCCTGGCCGAACAGAGAAGCTTGATTGGTCACTCCAGAGAACACGTCTCCTCTGCTCTAGAGTCCAGTGTCGGCGTGCTTTACACCACGGCATCCGACGCTTTGCATTGCACTTGGTGATGGAAGGCTTGGATGCAGTTGCTCGGCCATGGAAACCCATTCCATGAAGCTCTCTACGCACTGTTGATGGGCTCATCTGAAGGCCACACCAAGTTTGGAGGTCTTTAGCTATTGACTCTGCAGACAGTTGGTGACTTCTGCGCACTGTGCGCTTCAGCATGCGCTGACCCCGCCCTGTCATGTGACGTGGCCTACCACTTGGTGGCTGAGTGGCTGTTGTTCCCAGTGGCTTCCACTTTGTTATAATCCCACTAACAGTTGAGCGTGGAATATTTAGTGGCCAGGAAATGTCACGGATGGACTTATTGCCCAGGTGGCCACCTATCACGGGACCACGCTTGGAGTCACTGAGCTCCTGAGAGCGACCCATTCTTTCACCAATGTTTGTAGAAGCCGTCTGCATGCCTAGGGGCTTGATTGTATACACCTGTGTCCATGGAGGGGATTGGAGCACTGGGATCACATGATATGGAGGGGATTGGAACACCTGAATCACATGATATGGAGGAGATTGGAACACCTGAATCACATGATATGGAGGGGATTGGAACACCCGAATCACATGATATGGAGGAGATTGGAACACCTAAATCACATGATATGGAGGGGATTGGAACACCTGAATCACATGATTGGAAGGGATTGGAACACCTGAATCACATGATTGGGAGGGGATTGGAACACCTGAATCACATGATTGGGAGGGGATTGGAGCACATGAATCACATGATATGGAGGGGATTGGAACACCTGAATCACATGATGTGGAGGGGATTGGAACACCTGAATCACATGATTGGGAGGGCATTGGAACACCTGAATCACATGATTAGGAGGGGATTGGAACACCTGAATCACATGATATGGAGGGGATTGGAACACCTGAATCACATGATTTGGAGGGGATTGGAACACCTGAATCACATGATTGGGAGGGGATTGGAACACCTGAATCACATGATATGGAGGGGATTGGAACACCTGAATCACATGATTGGGAGGGGATTGGAACACATGAATCACATGATATGGAGGGGATTGGAACACCTGAATCACATGATTGGGAGGGGATTGGAACACATGAATCACATGATATGGAGGGGATTGGAACACCTGAATCACATGATTGGGAGGGGATTGGAACACCTGAATCACATGATATGGAGGGGATTGGAACACCTGAATCACATGATTGGGAGGGGATTGGAACACCTGAATCACATGATTGGGAGGGGATTGGAACACCTGAATCACATGATTGGGAGGGGATTGGAACACCTGAATCACATGATTGGGAGGGGATTGGAACACCTGAATCACATGATATGGAGGGGATTGGAACACCTGAATCACATGATTGGGAGGGGATTGGAACACCTGAATCACATGATTGGGAGGGCATTGGAACACCTGAATCACATGATTGGGAGGGGATTGGAGCACCTGAATCACATGATATGGAGGGGATTGGAACACCTGAATCACATGATATGGAGGGGATTGGAACACCTGAATCACATGATTGGGAGGAGATTGGAACACATGAATCACATGATATGGAGGGGATTGGAACACCTGAATCACATGATATGGAGGGGATTGGAACACCTGAATCACATGATATGGAGGGGATTGGAACACCTGAATCATATGATTGGGAGGGGATTGGAACACCTGAATCACATGATATGGAGGGGATTGGAACACCTGAATCACATGATTGGGAGGGGATTGGAACACCTGAATCACATGATTGGGAGGGGATTGGAGCACCTGAATCACATGATATGGAGGGGATTGGAACACCTGAATCACATGATATGGAGGGGATTGGAACACCTGAATCACATGATTGGGGGGGGGATTGGAGCACCTGAATCACATGATATGGAGGGGATTGGAACACCTGAATCACATGATATGGAGGGGATTGGAACACCTGAATCACATGATATAGAGGGGATTGGAACACCTGAATCACATGATTTGGAGGGCGGGGACAATACTTTTGGCAATATAGTGTATATCACATCTGTGTATTGTGGGGCACTAAAACGCTGGTCTGTTGGGGGGAGGGGCATTGGGCCGCCATGCTGAGTGGTGCGTTTTTGCACTGTGGGTCCTGCGTTATCTTCTGTTGCAGTAACTCAGCAATAAAAGTCACGTTCCTGCAGTGCAAAGTATGGATGCGGCCTTCGCCCCTCCCCCTCACACATTCATTTCTATGGGCGCCCTCTTACTTGGTGTGATTCAAGTCTCAGCAACAACAGTAGTAGCAGTGATGGTGGCTTCTTCTGCAGCTCGGTTCGCTCTGCTGCGACCCCAAAGTCGTGTGACTTGGCATGGCAACTTGCTTGCCACTTATTTATTTATTTCAGGTACTTATATAGGGCCCTCAATGTACTCCACGCTCTACATATACATTGTACATTCATATCAGGCCCCGCCCCCGAGGAGCGTACAATCTAAGGTCCCTAACTCACATTCATACATACACATACTAAGACCAGAGACAATTATCCTACCAGCATGTCTTTGGCGTGTGGGAGGAAACCGGAGTACCCAGAGGAAACCCACACAGGCACAGGGAGAACATGCAAACTCCAGGCAGGTGGTGCCGTGATTGGGATTCAAACCAACAAATCTAGACGGAAGTGCTAGCTATTTGGCCACTGTGCTGCCCCTATGGCCCCTTGACCAGGATTTTGAGGCTTCCCCATCAACCCTCACCACTTTTCTACACCCAGAACTATCTTAGACCACACAAGTGCGGAGTCTGGTGACAGAGGAGCCGTTTTATAAAAAAAAAAATCCATCCCAATAAATAATAATAATTAACATTAAATAACAAGAAAAGTGGGCTGATGGTCCTTGAAGGCACCAGAACGTGGTATCCATATGGAATCTGCAGCCCAAATTCTTGGGGCCTCCTTGGTGAGCCCCCCAGTTACTCTCCACCACCTCGGGAACAATTGGAGAACCCTACCACACAATGGCCAACCATCATTGGTCTCAACCAAGGGGCCACACTAGGGTGGGACACCACACCTTAGACAGGTCCCCACCCACCTATACACAAAGGAAACACCTTCAAAGACCCTCAGACTTGGTTACCCTCCAATGGGCTCCCAGGAAAATCATTCACCGATAGAAGGAGAGCCAAACCAAACGGTAGGAGGGTCCAAATTGGTCTAATAGTTTGTACTAAAAGCCAGCCAATAAACCAATGTGGACTCTCCTACCATTTGTCCTGGTGCCCCTACCCTGCAGCCCAGCTCTGAAGACCCTCCTTCCTGAGACCTCATTAGCCAATCAGGTAAGAGAATCTTCTCTATTTCCTATTCCAGTGGTCTCCACACTGCGGACCTTTGCTTGCTCTTATCTAGCCTTGGGGCACTGATCCACCAATAAGAGCCACTATTCCTCCAAATAATACAAGGAACTATTCCTCCACTGACACCAATGATGGGGCACTATTCCTCCACTGACACCAATGATGGGACACTATTCCTCCACTGACACCAATGATGGGGCACTATTCCTCCCACTGACACCAATGATGGGGCACTATTCCTCCCACTGACACCAATGATGGGGTACTATTCCTCCCACTGATACCAATGATGGGACACTATTCCTCCCACTGACACCAATGATGGGGCACTATTCCTCCCACTGACACCAATGATGGGGCACTATTCCTCCCACTGACACCAATGATGGGGCACTATTCCTCCCACTGACACCAATGATGGGGCACTATTCCTCCCACTGACACCAGTGATGGGGCACTATTCCTCCCACTGACACCAATGATGGGGCACTATCCTCCCACTGACACCAATGATGGGGCACTATTCCTCCCACTGACACCAATGATGGGGCACTATTCCTCCCACTGACACCAATGATGGGGCACTATTCCTCCCACTGACACCAATGATGGGGCACTATTCCTCCCACTGACACCAATGATGGGGCACTATTCCTCCCACTGACACCAATGATGGGGCACTATTCCTCCCACTGACACCAATGATGGGGCACTATTCCTCCCACTGACACCAATGATGGGGCACTATTCCTCCCACTGACACCAATGATGAGGCACTATTCCTCCCACTGACACCAATGATGGGGCACTATTCCTCCCACTGACACCAATGATGGGGCACTATTCCTCCCCACTGATACCAATGATGGGACACTATTCCTCCCACTGACACCAATGATGGGGCACTATTCCTCCACTGACACCAATGATGGGGCACTATTCCTCCCACTGACACCAATGATGGGACACTATTCCTCCCACTGACACCAAATGCTGGGGCACTATTAATCCCACTGACACCAATGATGGGGCACTATTCCTCTCACTGACACCAATGATGTGGCACTATTCCTCCCACTGACACCAATGCTGGGGCACTATTCCTCCCACTGCCACCAATGATAGGGCACTATTACTCCCACTGACACCAATGATGGGGCGCTATTCCTCCCACTGATACCAATGATGGGACGCTATTCCTCCCACTGACACCAATGATGGGACACTATTCCTCCCACTGACACCAATGATGGGACACCATTCCTCCACTGACACCAATGATGGGGCGCTATTCCTCCCACTGATACCAATGATGGGACGCTATTCCTCCTACTGACACCAATGATGGGGCACTATTCCTCCCACTGACACCAATGATGGGACACTATTCCTCCCACTGACACCAATGATGGGGCACTATTCCCTCCCACTGATACCAATGATGGGACACTATTCCTCCCACTGACACCAATGATGGGCACTATTCCTCTCACTGACACCAATGATGAGGCACTATTCCTCCCACTGACACCAATGATGGGGCACTATTCCTCCCACTGATACCAATGATGGGGCGCTATTCCTCCCACTGACACCAATGATGAGGCACTATTCCTCCCACTGACACCAATGATGGGTCACTATTCCTCCCACTGATACCAATGATGGGGCGCTAATCCTCCCACTGACACCAGTGATGGGGCACACTATTCCTCCCACTGTCACCAATGATGGGGCACTATTCCTTCCACTGACACCAATGATGGGGCACTATTCCTCCCACTGACACCAATGATGGGACACTATTCCTCCCACTGACACCAATTATGGGGCACTATTCCTCCCACTGACACCAATGATAGGGCACTATTACTCCCACTGACACCAATGATGGGGCACTATTCCTCCCACTGACACCAATGATGAGGGCACTATTCCTCCCACTGACACCAATGATGGGGCACTATTCCTCCCACTGACACCAATGATGGGGCACTCTTCCTTCCACTGACACCAAGGATGGGACACTATTCCTCCCACTGACACCAGTGATGGGGCACTATTCCTCCCACTGACACCAATGATGGGGACACTATTCCTCCCACTGACACCAATGATGGGGCACTATTCCTCTCACTGACACCAATGATGAGGCACTATTCCTCCCCACTGACACCAATGATGGGGCACTCTTCCTTCCACTGACACCAATGATGGGACACTATTCCTCCCACTGACACCAGTGATGGGGCACAATTCCTCCCACTGACACCAATGATGGGACACTATTCCTCCCACTGACACCAATGATGGGGCACTATTCCTCCCACTGACACCAATGATGGGGCACTATTCCACCTCCTACTGACACCAATGATGGGACACTATTCCTCCAACTGACACCAATGATAGGGCACTATTCCTCCCACTGACACCAATGATGGGGCACTATTCCTCCAACTGACACCAATGCTGGGGCACTATTCCTCCCACTGACACCAATGATGGGGCACTATTCCCCTCACTGACACCAATGATGGGGCACTATTCCTCCCACTGATACCAATGATGGGACACTATTCCTCCCACTGACACCAATGATGGGGCACTATTCCTCCCACTGACACCAATGATGGGGCACTATTCCTCCCACTGACACCAATGATGGGGCACTATTCCTCCCACTGACACCAATGATGGGGCACTATTCCTCCCACTGACACCAATGATGGGGCACTATTCCTCCCACTGACACCAATGATGGGGCACTATTCCCCTCACTGACACCAATGATAGGACACTATTCCACCTCCTGCCGACAGGTGCTATATAATTATTTATACTCCCCCCTGACCACCAAGCCTGAGCCCCCCCCCCCATCCTCCTAGAGTCTGATGACATTAAAGTGGCCCTTCGTTTGGAAGGTTTGTTCTATTCCTGAACCTTCCAGTTGCCCGGCACCCCTCCAGCATGGCCACGTGCCCCCTAATCCTACGTCCTTTGCCTCCTTGTCTCGGGGCCCCTCTGGACTTTATGGATTCCTCATCCAGGACGGACGCCGGGTTTCTCCTATCGCTCTGTAGATGTAGGCCAGGCGTATGGGGTCTCTTATCCCGCGGCGCCGAAGACACCAGAAATATGTTGCGTTTTCTTTCTGAAGCAAAATCATAACTTGACGACCCGACTTCCAACAAGGGCCCGTCTCCTCCCCCCCCCCCCCCCCCCCAGGAGAAGTGTTTTTTTTTTTTCCACCACTTCCCAAGCTGAGAATTTGATTTTAATACATTTAAATGAAGCATCTAAATCTAAAAAAAAAAAAAAAAAAAAACCACGCACACGCGGCGCACCGCCACCCCACGCCAACCCTGCCCGGCAACAGAGCCTAATGATTAATTATATTACACTCCATTTTCAGGACTGGCATAATTTAATTATTTACGAATCTGGCAATACTTCCACTACAAAGCGGGGCCATTTAGGACTCGGGTTTTACATTATCTTTGAAGTTATAGACGAAGAAGAAATCGTTATAATGTCGAGGATTTTTTTATTTTTTTTTTTTTCCTGTTCTTCGGCGGATGGCTGTTCGCTCCCCGCGGGGTTTTCTGAGATTGTTTAGAAGCCGCATTGATAAGAGATGGTAAATATTTAGAATATTTGGGAGATCAAA